CAGGGGTCAGCAAACTGTGGCCCATGGGCCAATTCCAGCTTGCTCCTTTCTAAATAAAGTTTTATTGGAACACGGCAACTTCCATTTGTGTCCCCGTGATCTACTGGAGCTGTGTGTGTGCTCCAGTGGCAGTGGTAAGTGGTCGTGACAGAGGCCGCCTGACCCACACAGGACCGAGGCCCAGAGCGAAATGAAAATGCAAAGACTTGGGGCGCCTGGGTGGCTCAGGCGGTTGGGCGTCTGACTTCGGCTCAGGTCATGATCTCACAGCTCGTGAGTTCGAGCCCCGCGTTGGGCTCTGTGCTGACAGCTCGGAGCCTGGGGCCTGCTTCGGGTTCTGCATCTCCCCCTCTCTCTGCCCCTAACCCACTCGCGTTCCGTCTCTGTCTCTCTCAAAAATAAATAAACATTAAAAAAAAGAAAATGCAAAGACTTATGTTTATAAATTATTAAGAATTTAAGAATTCTTAATTATTATGGTGACAAGAGGGCATTCAACCAAGCACAAGGCCCCTCTAAGTGTAGGGCCTTCGCAGTTGCCCACGAAGCCAGCTCTGGGCCTTCAAAGTCTACACCATTACTACACAATTGAAAGTTACAGCCAAGTAATGCCTGGGCAGCTCAGTCGCTCAAGCGTCCGACTCGACTTCGGCTCAGGTCATGATCTCATGGTTCGTGGGTTTGAGCCCTGCATTGGGCTCCGCGCTGACAGCGCGAAGCCTGCTTGGGATTCTCTCTCTCACTCTCTTTCCCTCTCTTTCTGCCCCCCCCTCTTTCTCTCTGTCTCTCTCAAACTAAATAAACAAACTTATAAAATTAAAAAAAAAAAAAAATAAGTTACAGCCAATTGTTGCCGAGCTCCAGCACTTTCCTGTTCCTGGCCCATGATAAAGCTTCACTGGTCCACAAGCAAGAGAGGATCTAGATGATCTAAATGTATTCAACATAAAAGCTATTCTTTAGCTTGAGAGTCTATCCTTTAGAATTTTTTTTGATGTTGCAATGCTTTTTTTTGTTGTTGTTGTTGAAACGATAAGAAGAGTAGCTGGTAGGCATTTGTTTGTCCTATATCCTTAATTGACAAAATAAAAAGTTTATTACCTATGTCAAGAATCTAATTAAAAAAAGAATTACAGGTATAGTAGTCACTTGAGGTACATAATGTTAAATGGAGAGACTGGCAAAAAAAACATCGTGTCGAGTAAAACACAGAATGAGATCTAAAGCACAATATCGCACACACGTCAGTGAAGACACTGTATTTCAAAGATTTATGCATATCGGGGATATATACCGAGTGTGGGGTGGGGGTGGGGAGGAGAAGAAGGTTGAGAATAGGGTTAAAGGGAAAAGGAGAAAGCAAGGGAAGGATCTTGTACGAACTGATGTTCGCAATGTGTCTTAACGGAAGTCAATTGACTGAACTTACATTGCCTGAGATCCAAAATATAGACCATGCCCCTACCAACACTAGATCCCCCCCAAACCACCATTCTAATACCGCTTTATGGTTTGCAATGTAGTTTTTTCTTCGGATCCTTGCAACACCCCAGTGTTCTCGATATCTTTATCGGCATTTTACAGACAAGAAACCTGAAATTCAGAAAGTTTAATCAAGCAACAAAACATGGCAGAATGTAAGCGTGCAGCCACATCTTCTGACTTCCATAATTATTGCTTTTTTCAGTTTCCTCCCAAAGGCCGTTTTCTTCCTAGAATGAGATTCACTGTATGTTCGGGGTGACAGCAAAATTCTGAAACATTTGCTGTTACGAAAAATCTATCGGTGGCATCTTTCAATGCCCTTATAAGCGAAGAAGGCATTCTTTCCTCTGGAGTGCTACCTCTGTCTCCTTCCTTATTGTTCTTTCTCTCGTCCTGATATCCGAATTATAGGGCCAAAGTGACTCTTGTAGACAATTCTAATTTTGCTCCCGTGTGGGACAAAAGTCAAATAATTATAGAAGAGATTCATGTTTTAAATGATCTAATTCTGATTTTCTAAGAGTCCTTCGTATACGTGTCATGTCTACAGCCTTGCAGATGGGCAGTTTTGCTCATGGCCGCCTCGAATCTCCCCTGGTGCCCTGTCATTCTCGTCCTGTCCTCGGAAAAACAGCTGCTCGTATCTCAATGCATACCTGAAGAGTGTTATAAAGTTCCCTTTTATTTGCCCTTCTTTAGGCTAATTAAACCAAGATCCTTTTGCATTTTCTCATAGAGACTATTCCCAGGGCTTTAGCAATTTTTGGTTTTCATTCCTGTGCACTTTATACTCTCCCATCCCCCCTTTCTTTTAGACACTGCCTGGTATTGTTAGATAGCGACTGTAATAGTTTAGATCAGTGATTCTCAAAGTGTAGGTTCCGGACAGACAGCATCAGCATCACTAGAGAGCTCGTTAGCAATGCAAATTATCAGGTGCCACACCAGACCTACCAAATCAGAAACTCCATTGATGGGGCCCGGCAATCCAGTTTAACAAACCCTCCAGGGAATTCTGATGTATGTTAACGTTTGACAATTATTTTTCAGCACTCTTTTTCCTCCCCTACTGGGGGCATGAGCCTTTCCTAGCCCCATTCATGTTGGATGTGGCCACGTGACTTGCATTGGCCAATGGAATGTTAGTCAATGTGATATAAGCCTTAGATGTATTTGTGTGGCTTTGGGTTGGCTCTGGTGCTCCAGGGATTGGTCACAAGAAGAACATGTCCTGGGTCCAAGAGAGTATAAGGTTAGATGGAACAGAATAGTTCAGTGTGTTTCAAAAAGAACTGGAAACAGAAATAAACTCTTTGGATGTCTATCTTTCTCTTAGTCTCGACTTCCCCATGGACAATATATGACACACTAGGAAGCAAATAATCCAGTGAATGAACAGTCTATTACTATGTTGCTACAAATAAACAGATAAATAATAAATAAATGGAGAGAACTGATTAGCTGAAGTACAGTACACATTTTAGACTAATTTTGTTTAGATGACCTTTTGGATTCTTTAGGAGTAAAATAACACTCTCATCACAGCAGATTGAATAAATAAAGCAGACGAAGTAACTTTATTTTTTCATGTTATATGATGTCTGGAGAGAGATGGACCCTGTCACTGTTCTGGGGGTTGATAATATCAGGATCAGCATGTCTGTGGAGAAGCAGCAGGCACTAACTGAGCTGGTCTCATCGCAGGTATTTCAAATAGAGGGTGTTTAATAAAGGAAGTTGTTAACATAAGTGATGGGAGACCAGAGACCCAACTGGGGATTGAAACCCTTCCAATGTTAGCAACAGCATTAAGGACCAGAGAGATAAAAAGGGATAAATAAGAGGCTACATAGGCTGCCAGAGATCTCCAGCTATCGGAGTTCAGATGCATCTAGCATTCTCCTGCGCATGAGGGTACTTTGTATTACCTTCCATCACTTCCCACAATCCTCCCAGTTCTTCCTCGATTACTCATAGGTAGATCACTTGCATCCACATCCTTATCTAAGGGTGCTGAAGATTACCCATCATGCTTTCAGAAAACACTTTTGTTAAATAGACAGGTTCCTTGAGGCGCCTGGGTGGCCCAGTCAGCTAGGCGTCCGACTCTCGATTTCAGCTCAGGTCACGATCTCATGGGTTGTGGAGGTTTCGCTCTGTGTCGGGCTCTGTGGAGCCTGCTTTGGATTCCCTCTCTCCCTCTCTCTCTGCCCTTCCCCTGCTCGCACCCTCTTTCTCTCTCAAAATAAATCAATGAACTTAAAAATAAACTTTAAAAATACTTTATAAAAAATAAACCCGTTCCTCTTTTAGAACAGGCAATTTTTCAACAAAATGGACCTGAAACAGAGAGGCCAGGAGCCTCAGTGTTTTCTCCCAGAAGCAGAAGCCGAGACAAGGTTATGCTTTACAAATGTTGCCCAAGAAAATGTAAAAGCAATTGAACAAGCCTTTACAAATATTTTTTAAGTTATGAGGGGGTTACCCATAACATACAATATTCTATCCTATTGTTCAGAGCACAGTTCCTGGTATTGAGCACATTTACATTGCTGTGAAGCCATCATCACCGTCCATCTCTTGAACTCTTTCGTCTTGCACAACTGAAACTCTGCCCCCATTAAACACGAACCCCCTGTTGCCCTCTCCCCCAGCCTCTGGCACTCGCCATTCTCCTTTCTGTCTCCATGAGCTTGACTACTTTTAGGAACCTCCTGTAAGTGAAATTATGCAGTCTTTGCCTTCTGTGACTGGCTTATTTCACTTAGCAGAACGTCCTCATGCTTCATCCCTATTGTAGATGTTGGAGTTTCCTTCCTTTTGAAGACTGAAGAAAATTCCACTGTATGTACGTAGGTACCACATTTTGCTGGTCCATTCATCGATGGGCGCTTGGGTCACTTCCAGTTTTCGGCTGTTGTGAATAATGTGGCTACACACTTGAGTATACAAGAAATCGAACAGTTCTTATAACCGTGTTCCTTGAGAAGTCGATAAAGAAGAGAAGCTTACACAGAACACAGGTCAGTGTGGATATGCTAAATTTGAATTAATTAATTGTGTCTAGTTAGCTTCTGGAAACATAAACAGAGATGCCAAACTAGATGCCTTGGCAGGGGCCAAACATGCAAAGAGAAGGCTGAAAATTATGAACAAAGGGGAAATTTATAAAACATTTAAGTGGTTTTCATTAGGGTGTGAGTGGACTGGATTATACTGCTGAGGTGAGGGGGTGTGTTGGATTTTCTAGACTCTTCCTTAAGACGAATGGCAGAAACCCAAGCTCTACACAATATAGAGATGTTGGATGGAGAAAGCACATAGAAGGAAGACAAGATTGAGAACCAGTGTTTTGTAAAGATAATCTATAGGAGCTGAATTGGTAGCATAGAGAGGGCCATTTGCTGACAGGACAGCATGCAGTTTCTAGTGGAGATCTTGAAATATTGGGAGGGAAATACAGTCCTTTTGAAACTTGAGGTCAGAGGAAATCCTTAGAAGGAGAGACTGAGAAGTCATTAAGAACTATTTATTTACTTGTTTCACAAACAATGCTTGGGCAGCACTCTCTGTGGTAGATTATACTATCCAAGTATAGCCATTACCCAATGTTCTTCTAGAACTGTGCCACACTCCCCATAGGAAGTAGTGTCTTATTCCCCTCTCCCGGAATCTGGATACGCTTGGGATTCACTTGTAAATAAGAGAATGCAGTGGAAATGGTGCTGTGTGACTCCGGTGCCTCGGCTGGAAAAGTCTTCATAGCTTCTGCCTTTCTGTTGGAATGCTGAGTCTTGAAGCTTTCAGTTCTCATGAGTCATCTTCTTGTCCCAAGGCAGCCATGCTGTGAGGAAGCCCAACTAGCCAGATAAAGAGACACCACACTGAGAGGCCCTGAGACCTCTCCGTGTAAGAGATAAAGATGCCTGGAAAGTCCATTCCTGGCAGTTATGCCTCCTGCACCTGCATGGGAGACATTGAGGCAGAACCATTGAAACTGTAGGTCAGGAATTAAAGCTCCCTGACTCCTGACCCACAGAGCCAGTGAGAGATAATAAGATAATTGTTGTCGTTTTCAACAACAACTACATTTTGGAGAGATTTGACATGGCTGTGGATAACCAGAGCACTGCTTTGGGACCAGGCATTGTTTTAGGTACTGACGTACGGTGGTTTGAAAATCCAAGTGTCCTTGTCTGTAATTACAGACCAGGTAGAAACAGAGTCACTGAGGATAACTAGCAAGAACACTTCTCAAAGTGATAGGACGGAACGACTAAGAATAGTGAAAGAGGACAACGACCAATGACCAGGTGTGTTCGGAACTTTCTCGGCATTTTGGGGTGAATGAGAGGAAAATGCCTTCAACGTAAGATAAGCAGTGTCCCTCCCCTACTTCCTCGCTGCTGGATAGGATAGGATCGAGGAGGGCAAAGCACCTAAAGGGGCAACCTAAGAGGGAAAAACACAACCTTTAATGTCTCACTGGGACAAAGTGTAACTTGAGTGACGCAGAGGTGTTGAGTCAGTTCCTAGAGATGGGTTAAATGTTGTTACAATCATCCCCCTTTTGGGGGCACTCAGGGGTCATGCTTCCTTTCAGGTGCTTCTTGTGAAGCCGTGGGCAGAACCATGCCTAGCCGTGGGTGCTTTGTGGCCAGAACAAAGAGCAAAATAAATGTATATCCCACCCCACCACCCCACATACATAATTTATAGCATTTTAATCTTCCTACTTGTCTCTGCTTATGAATTTCTTATAGAATTATTTAATGATGTGAGTTCAATGGGCAATTTCAAAATCTACTTAATTTACCATTTCTTTTCTCGGCGATGCAGTGAGGCACTGAGAACCATACTGCAGAGGTAGCAGCCTGAATGCGCTTGAGAGAAAAAAAAAAAAATCATCCAACGCCAGACAATTAATACGTAGGCAGGCTCCTGCCCTCTATCCCTGGGTCCCAATAACCCTGACAGGATGCTAGGGAGTTTCACAGATCAGAGAGAGACAGAGTTGTGTTAAAGGAACAGCATCAGACGTACCTCATGCCCAGTCTTGGAACGCCCCTGGTGTCTCTAGGTGTCCTATGAGGCGAAGGGAATGAGTTTTACAGGGCAAATGCAGTAAACGCAAAGGAGAAAAGGATGTAATCTTAAACGGAGTCAGTAGTCTGGATGAGAAGACACGAAGAATCTGCCCGGGAGCATGGGAGAAACTTGTTACAGTAATAAGCTCAGGAAGCACACGTCCCGATCTCTGACATCGGTGAATATACATTCGTAAGTCACGAGGCATGTGAACATTCAAGATTCTTCTGGATGGACCGACCACGCTGAGACAAAGGATAGAGCATGGAATGAGAGACGACACAAAAGCAGGTGTTAAGAGTCCTCACCTGGCAGACACATCCGATTCACTCCCACCGGCCCTTCTCCCACGACATCTCCCTCCCAAAGCATTGGCAAAGCTGTTGGATGGCCAGATGGGTCTCACCTGCAGGACACACGCCTGTCCTCCCGGACAACTCAGAGCGGCCCATGATGTCTTATGGCAAGTCGGTTTCAGAGCACTCGTCCTTTGCGTGGGGCAAAGCGGTAGGTCACGGTTTCAAATCCGGGGTGGTCACAACCGAAGAGCATTAGCTCACCGGGAAAGGGACTTCAGATGACCTTTACCCAGCCTCGTATGAAACGAGGCTCTCGGTCTCCGCTCAGCTTTTCACGGTCGAGGCGTCTGCACCGCTCAACGGATGCTAACCGTCCACAGTAGGGAGAGGGGGACACACACCAGGGCTTTCCGTCTCCTTGATAGACTCGGTGGGAATGTGTCCGGTCTTACGGACGGAGAGCCGCAGACGTCAACACCGTCAACTGAGCCACAGGCATCAGCATAAAACTCAAACCCGAGAGAGGCTCAAATTAGTATCCAAACATGCCTCTGTTTCCTTAATGCTCATTCAGACAGAGGTTCAATGGCTGGAAATTATTGAAATGAGGCAGATGTCAAGGGGATGCTGCACAGGCAGCTCCTCTTCAGTGGCAGTCATTGTGTGCCTCCAGCTTCAGGATCCTTGTTAAATCTCCACATCGTGCCCAGCCCTAAAGTACCTGCCGGTGCAGCTTTCCCGTTCGCCGCAAGAGTTGCACAAATGTACGAACGGAGCTGAAGGCTCTGGGATCGGCCTGGAGCTGCGTCATTTTCCCGATCGTTAGACTGGGAGCCCCAGTGCCCCGCTGCTACCGTGCGCATCATTTCGGAGCGCCATTCCCTTCCTCCCCTGTGGTCCTTGGCTTCGCTCGGCGCCTCCCACCGACCGACACCACCGGGCCTCCGTGTACCTTGCACGGGAAGAGAAAAAGGTCTTGAAATAATAGACTTCCTCTTGGTTTCTCAATCGGGTACAATCAGGGTTGTTTTTCATTTTTCAAGCCAACACGTGTAAAGCGTCTAAGAGGTGAGGGAATAAATACACGACTTTATGCTGGGGTGGGGGTTGTTAACTGTTTTTGCAAAGGTGGCCCAAGCCAAGGCATTCCTGTTCCCCAGCGGGACTGGAGGTGGAGGGAGGCTTAAATATAAGTCTTTTTTTTTTTTTTTCTTCCCTCTAAATCTGTAACCTGCAACAATGTCTTGCAACATTTCGCCTATTCTGAGAACTGCAGCCTATGTTGGTAAAGAAGCTCAGTGAGATTTCCTACTTCTGGAGGGGGGTGAGGGGAACCCTCCAGAGGTGGCCAACAGATGTAATGAAAGTCCCAGTTTTCTTCGGTGGAAAAAATGTCTTTATATGCAGGCAGGATATATGACAGTGCACATATTTTTTGTGCTAAGTATTCAACCTAAGTTAAATACTGAAAATACGAGAGGAAAAAATATGGCCCGATTCAGTATCTGACCTCACCTTACTTTAGAGCAAGGTTGTAAAACCAGCAGAATGGCTTTCTTTCTTTCTTTTACAGATTTTATTTAATTTTTTAAATGTTAATTTATTTTTGAGAGAGAGAGAGAGCATGGGTGAGGGAGGGACGGAGAGAAAAGGAGACAGAGGATCCAAAGCAGATTCTATGCTGAGAGAGCAGCGTCCGCACGATGTGGGGCTCAAACCCCAAACTATGAGATCATGACCTGAGCCAAAGTCAGATGCTTAACTGACTGAGCCACCCAGCCGCTCCCCCAATGGCTTTCTTTTTTTTTTTTTTTTCAATGTTTATTTATTTTTGGGACAGAGAGAGACAGAGCATGAATGGGGGAGGGGCAGAGAGAGAGGGAGACACAGAATCGGAAACAGGCTCCAGGCTCTGAGCCATCAGCCCAGAGCCCGATGCGGGGCTCGAACTCATGGACCGCGAGATCGTGACCTGGCTGAAGTCGGACGCTCAACCGACTGCGCCACCCAGGCACCCCGACTTCCTTAAACTTCCTTATACGAACCTAAACTCAGCAGAGAATCTTAGAATATGTAGCTTTGTTCTCTTCTCTTCTGACAACACCATCAAAAAAAGGAAGAAAAATAATCTGTCATGTATATATATATTCTTTGAGAGTTCAAGTATTTTTAAATGTAAAAACTTTTAAGTGCAACATAAAAAAAAGTAGCTGAGAGCTATAAATATGTTTTTGACTTCACAAAAGAAATATTTCATAATTTACACTCTCCATTCTTGAGGGAAGAGCAACTTTACCACTCATGAATTATTGGTTTCTTCTTCCTGGTTAAATATTCACTCTCTGTCCATCTGTCTTGTTCATATTTTTTCCTGTTGATTTTTAGCACTCTTAGAAATAAGGAATACATTTCAAACTCGATGCACAGGGGATTTCATTATAAATTGTGGCAAACTGGGAAAACGCAGACTTGATGTGTTAACCTCTACAAACTGGTGTGGGAACCTGGGTTGGTAAATTTGTGGTGATGGCTGTGGATGCTCTTTGGATTATATACTGGAATCACATCGCTTAAAAATAATTATGTCCATTTAACTTTCCTTAGAAAAATTCGAGAACTTTTTAATGCTATAATCTGTTAAGACTTAGGTATGTGAGTTGTTTTTTAATCACCACGAAGCTAAAGTACCTGTACGTTCCAAATTGTAGTCAGTTGCAAACAAACCCTAAACGATAGTTGGGAAGGCAACACACACTGTCTCTGGAGGCTTGTCTGGACGTTACATAAAAATGCCCAGACTGGGAACTTCATAGGTAACCTACACACCATTGATCACGATTGCACGTGCATACACTTTCTCTGTCCTCCTGCCGTGCGTTTGTATCGATGTCACACATACAAAAACCAAACATAGGTAGAAAGAGTCTCAGTTTTAGAAAAAGCTTGGTTTTGGAACAGATTGGAATTTGGGTTTTAGTCATCCAAGATGTGATAAACCACACTGGGCATTAATGTAGAAAACAGATTGAGCTTTTTAATGGGACATCAAATAAGACTTTATTAGCATCTATTAGGTTCAACCCCAAGCTCAGGAAATAGCATTAATGAGCATCATATATCAGCGTGTCTGTTATTAGATAACAGTATCCCTTAAAACCAGCCAGCCATATATTACTTTATACTTTTTTACCTTTATCTTCAGAATTAGCTGACATTCTATCCTGTTACACTGGCCTTACTATTAGTAATAGTGAACCAATTTATAAACCCATTAGTGACACTTTTTCCAGAAGATAAAAACAGTCAAAATTATCTGGCAGCAATTAATCTTAATGGCTGTATGCAGTAAACAGCAATGGGCTAATTCCAGCTCTGTCAGCCCCATCAAACAATCCTGCATTAGGCAGCTTTTCAGTGATCCATTAAAGCATATTCAGAACAACAACAAATTCAATGCTGAAGGCATATGCACTAAACATTACAACAGTGATCTTCTGAAGCCATCATTATCTCTTAAATAGTACTTCCCCCATGTATTATCATTATGCTGTACATTAGAAATACTTTGATTAAACTCCCTTAATTCATAACAGACAGCTGCAGACCATTTATGCAGTTAATCTCAACACAACAGCTATTGAGGAAATATAACAAAATGAAGGCTGTAAACTGGAAGTCATTACTATGAAAGATACTGGTTTTCTAGCCCTCTTAGAGCAGAGTGCATCGTAAGGATGGGCTTTGCGCCTACAATAATGGGGATGAAACTGTTAATGACCTTCCACTTTCCCTGTAACATCTGTCCCGAGGCTGGTTGTATTGCAGACTGGGCGCGTGACCAGTTTAGACAGGGCTGTGTTCTCTGTGCGTTGGCCAATCCAAGGGTTCCACCGAGGAGGACCAAAGCTGTGGCTAGCTCCTGTTTTCGGCTGCGGTGTTGAGAAGTCAAGGTTTTGGTGACATGGATAGTCTCACCCATGTCACGGAATCGTTAGTGTATAAAGCACTGAAAACCTATTCTGCGCGTATGTCATCGTTAGCGACAGCTTCTGATTTCCTTTCCAACAAGTGCTGTCTTTTAAAGTTTAATTGACAGTACTTGAGTTGACATACTTAAAAAAAAAATGATGCCTACGAAATTTTCTCTGCAAACTTTCTCTCCCGTGTGCGTGCTATTTTCTTTTAACAATCCAGAGAAAATCTGCATGCAAAAAAAAAAAACCAAAACAAAAACCATCCACCCCACCCCCTCCCAGATTTAAGTAGCCACACCCCAAGTTCACGTTCCGCTGAGTAAAATATGCACGGGTTGAATTTGATGAACAAGAAACCTGTGTAAATTTCTCCCATAATGCACCTTCACAAACTTTTTCCTTTTCACAGGTAGAGAAACCATAAACATGTTCATGAATGGGCTCTATGTGCCTGGCATTTTTTTTTTTTCCTCATATAGGGTTTATTTCAGAGTTCTAAACCACAGACACCGTGTCTACCTTTTGATGAAATGGCCAACTAATTAAAACATAAATTTAGAGTCCCCTTGCCACCTCTGACAGTACTTTCAGCTTTCAGGGTTAGCATCCGTGAATTAAATATTGATCCCAAATGTAAAGTGCCGCCATTGTGGAGTGATAAGGGCTTAGCTTTCAGAAGGAAGGACCAATCCCTGTGGCAGTTTGCACTGAATGTTTATGGGGATTTCCACCATGGTGGTTAAATTGAGCCATCCCTCCAAGATGTCCGGGAACACATGAATATTAATGTTTGCCAGCGTGGGGAGAGTAGATTAGCTGGGTGGACGTCACCCGTCACTTGGGCCCCTCAGGTTACCTGTGATGCAGGCAGAGATCCCTGCCTGCCCTCCCCCACGTTCCCAGCCACCCCTCCCGGAATACCACGCTTTAAAAAAAAAAAAGTGGCAGCTCTGGGAAATTTTCTTCATTTTTCTCTCCTTTCCGTTGTGTTGGTTGGAATGTCGAATGTCGTCGAATGTCCTTTATTTCTCA